TTTAAATTTTTGATATGATTAACTAATTTTCCAAAATTTTAAGCCTCATAACAATATAAATTCGTGAAAAAATAGCATCCAAATGATAAAAATTCCCAAACTTTTAATGATACTGCCATTAGACATACTTAAGCTAGGAAAAATATAAAAATGGATTTATATACTGTTTAACCTGATTTTATGATTTTTGTTCATTTATTCTAATAAACTTTTAAATAAATAGAAAACAATTTCCAAAATTTCCCAAACTTTTTGTAACACTATTATTATACATGTAGAAGATTTTAAAAATATAAAAGATATTTTTCAATTAGTCTTGCTATTTTCCTTTGTTTTATCCTCTTAAATAATCATTAATAGGAGAATAATTATTAAATAGTTAAAGTAAATTACCAAAATTTTTGTAAATTTCATTTACAGTGTAAATAATCTGGGAAAAATAGCAAAGGTGGTTTTTATCTACTGGAATCCGATTTTGTGGATTTAAGTGTATTTAATCTTAGAAAATAGAAGAAAAATAGCATAATGAATAGAAAAATCATCCAAATTTTTATTTAGAGTTCTAATATATTATAAGGTCTTTTGTTAAATTTTCATGAATTTTGGATAAGTAGAACTATTTTTCCCGTTATTAGTTCGTTATAAATACAAAAATAGGTATGCATTATAAACAAATTCTGAAAATATTTTTCTGAGTCTTCCACATAGGTTAGGAGCTGCGAAAATTATTAAATAGACTTTTCAAATTCCTTAAAGTGGTTTTATGATTTATTTGAATAAAACAAAAAGAAAATTCAAAACCATAGCAAACTGTAACAAAAATCGATGACACTCACTGAGATGTCATCATTCACTTTAGTGGTCATCCACGAATTTACCTAGGATTTATAGACCTCAGAAAGTATTTTATATGAATTATTTCCCTATTTTCTTGCAATAATTATAATAATTCGAGAAAAATAAATTATTTTCTGAAAATTTATAGAACATCTCATTTTGTTATGGAAATACTGGGAAAAATCGGATGTGATCAGAAAAGTTGTTTTAGATATTTATTTGGGAATAAAATCCTTTATGAACATATTTGAAAGCTTTTAACAACAAACTTTGATCATCAAGCATCTAAACTTGAAGATCATCACATGCATGTTGTTTTGAAGACCATTAATGAGTTTGAAATGTTCAAAACTCGTTTTTTATAGAAAACTTAGGGTGCATGTGGTGATTTCTACCCAAAACTTGTAGAAAAGTGCATTATGTTGATTTTGACTTAGGTTTTGGTCCTTGGATTTCACCATTTACAACATGCATGTTGTTTTTGGGTGATATCCTACCACCATCATCATCAAAACCGTGAGTATGAGCAAGTGTTCATGATTTCACCATAGAATGGAGTAGAAGAAGAGAAAGTGCAAGAAAATAGCAAAACTTGAAGGAAAAGTGAAGTAGAATTAAAGAAAATTCGGGATTACCTTCAAGATTACTTCAAATGATGAATATTTAGAGTTTAAGGTGTGTTCTTGGGGCCATTTTTCTGTAACATTTCGTGGGTATAGAGAGAGGAAGAGAGAGTTTGAGAGAAAAACTTGTTCTTGAATGATGTAAAGAGGTGGAGTGAAGAGTGAGTGAAAATGAGTAGTGTGTGCCTTTTGAGTGTGAGAGAGAGATATAGAAAGAGACGGATCCAAATTTTTGAGGTATAAAACCCTCTTTCTCTTTTACTTTTATAAAAATTTCAATTCTTTTGTAAAAGTATTAAACTTTTTATAAAATATACACCCTAACCAACTTTTTATTCATGAAACCTTGATTTTGACTTATAAATTAAGGGTGAATGTTAATGACTTAAATTTTTGTTTTCCTTGATTATATTTCCCTGAATTTAATTGTTTTAAGTTAATATTATAAGTTTCATAACTATTTTTATAGAATTCTTGATGTCAAATTTTATAAAATTTAGGTTTTAGGGCTTTTACGGTTTTGAGATTTAATAAATCTTTGGATATCAAAATCAATAGAATCTTTGAGACTTCAATTTATTTTATGGTACTATAACTCTTTTATAGTTATAAATAATATTTGTAACTTATTTTATCGGTTTATTGGCATTCTATGTAGTGGTTTCGAGATTCAAGCAAAATTGAGGAATCAAGTATACTAGTCCTAGTTTTCAACTTTGACTTAAGTTTCTATGAGGCTCCAACCTGATTTCTACTACTAGTTTAAGTGGATAATGTGTGTATATGATTCATGAAAAGGTGTTCGAGTCAAAGAGTGACCCGAATATGGATAGTCTCTACAGTTAAGTAGTTATAGAATTCACATATCAATGTGAAATCTAAGTACACCATCCATTGTTTCTATCTGTTTCTAAGTTTCTACTAGGTTATAACTTAGCTTCTAGTTACTAAGTCTAATATGTGTTGTGCCTATATGTGCAACTAAGTCTAGTCAAATCTAGAACCGACTCGAATTTTGACGGTTGTCACATTATTATAGGTGGAGCCACTTTAATATACTAATAATACTAAAATTAAATATTTATTAAAAAATTGTAAATAAATCAGATAAGGGGAAACAGATACCAAAAGCCTTATGAATCCATCCACTAAGAACCAAAATAAAAAATGACAACTAAACACAGGGACCAAATCTATAATTTAGCCATACATTTAAATCCGGAAGTATCATAATAGGAAGAATAAACTACAGTTTTGATCTCTGAGTATATAACTGGTTTTGCAATTTTGGTCCCAAAAAATTCTCTTACAGTTTTGGTCCTTAGGAAAGACACTTACTTTCCATTATTTTCTTTTTTCAAACTCTTGTCAACAAAAATACAAATATATATTGATATAGTGCTTCGATAATTATGGTGATGATGCTGAGGTGGCAATGAAAGAGAGTTGGAAACCTGAATTCGATAGGGTCTGTGATGTTTAAAGAAGGTTGTGGATCTAATTTGACACCATGATTCCAGCCATTGAAGCTACCAGCCACCTCGACACTCTCACCCTCACCCTAGTAGTCAACTTGAAGGATCCAAAGTAAAACCAGTAAATGCCATTTTTAATAGTAATTTAGTAAATAAGGAGTTACCTGTTTTAATCCAAAAAGGCTTTCTTCATCTTTTGTTGCATGATGGAAAGCAACTTTTAGGGTTTTCAGGCCTTGTAGTTCAGGAAGAGGAATATCCAGTACTTCATAATACAAAATATCTGAAGTCTGTGTAGAACAACAAAAACATAATAATATAAATTATTGAGCAAATTGAATTCAAATTATTTAATAAATTTTAGTTACCTGATTGTAGTGAGCAAGCATGTCTGAGAGGTGTTCGACTCCTCGATACTTGATTGGTTGAGGTTTGGGTTGTTGGGAATAGCAGTTGTGAGACGTAAGTCTGATTTTAGATGGATCATCTAACTTCAAATGCCCAGCAACTCTTTCAACAACGTCGTCATAATTGTTAAGTTTTGACCTGCTCAAATCAAAGTCAACAACAATACAACATTAAAAAAAAATTTCCGTGAAATTAAGATCTTATTCTTAGGAAACTTACAGTTCCAATGAGAACTCATCCTCTTTTGGTTTCTCCAGTGAACGAAAGCGTACAACCTAGATACACAGAATATGTTATATACTTATTATATGTATGCATAAACATAAAAAGAGCAAAAGTGGAAAAATATAAATTTAAGTTTCACAGTATACCTGACGATTATGAACGTATTCCAGCAATGATGGAACATCTTGATAGCGGTTTTTTACAGTTCCATCCTTGAGAGGTTTCTGGAAGCAGATAATGTCCCCATCTTCAAGCTATAAAACCAAAAATGTGTTGATTAAATTAAATCAAGAAACTGTCATAAATATATGAAAAAAAGAAAAAACTTGAAAATTTACCTGACTAGCTCGAAATGTTAGCTTCTTATCAATGTGTTCACACATGACATTAGGTTCGAATTTGATAACCTGAATGACAAGGGTAATTTAGGAAACAATTATATATATATATATATATATATAATATATATATATATATATATATAATATATATATATATATATATATATATAAATAAATACAATAGACTAAAAGGTTGACCTCAAACAGTTCTATTTCTTCAGCGGGGGTAAAGCATGCGAGCTCATTTAGCTTTCCCAGCATCTCCATTGGCTTTCCACTACTCTTCACAAAGAGCCTTCCAACATACCTGGATAACACATTAAACCAAATTGAGGTGTTGTTTCCAAATTGAGGTGTTGTTTCTTTTTGATTTAATGAGTTAAGCACTTAATATGGATAGCTATATATGTCTCTTTCTTTTTTACTTAATCTATGCAGAACCACTTAATGGGTTAAGCCAAAAAACCTCGCTTAATATTTTAAGACATTAACCCTTCTTCTTTTTTCCTCCAACTTCTCTCACGTAAATATCCATACATATTTCTTAGAATCGGTGAACATTGTGACATTTGTTTTTTGGAATGTAAGGGTGCAATGGTCATTTAGTCTCATCCAGACGGTTTCTTCGGTCTAGAAAAGAAACAGACATTATGTATACAACACTTTACCCAAACTGACATCATTACCCACTCAGTCACTTTACAATTCACACATACAAGACTTAATAGAAAAAAGAGAAACAGCCACTATATATATATATATATATATATATATATATATATATATATATATATATATATATATATATATATATAGAGAGAGAGAGAGAGAGAGAGAGAGAGAATGCATACCGAAGCTCTTCTTTTAAATTGGTATACCCAATTCTTTTGCTACTTCCTATTAGTCGTAATACTTGTACTTAATGCTTTTTTGTCATAGTCTCTTTGTATAGGGTTCTATGTGTAACATTTCATTCTATTTATTGTTTTTCTCTCTGCCTCTTTTGGCATTTCGAGAGTTATTCCTCTCTTGGTATCAGAGCACCGGATCCGATCCTCTTCCTTTTCTCTCTAAAACTCTTCTCCTCCTCCATGGCCGGATCATCTTCTTCTGATTCTCTCCTCTCAATGAACACTATTCTCCACCTAATCTCCAATCGCCTCACCTCGTCCAATTACCTCATTTGGAGAAATCAAATAGTGTCACTTCTCCAATATCAGAATCTCCTGCCTCTCGTTGATGGCTCCTCCACTAAGCCGCCTTCCACGATTGTCAAGGAAGGGACCTCTATTCTAAATCCTGAATTAACAGAGTGGCAATCTGCTGATCAAAGGGCAGTCATACTTCTTCAAGCTTCTCTCTCTGAAGAGGCTTTTCCTCTGTCTTCGAGATCAACTCCGCCAGGTGTCAAAAGGCTCTTCCTCTGTCTCCGATTTTGGGCGAAAATTTCGCACTATTTGTGACCAATTTTCGGCCATTGGACACCCTGTTGCCGATTCTGATAAAGTCCATTGGTTTTTGTGTGGTCTCGGTGCTCCGTTTGAGACATTCTCCACCGCCATCCGGGCATCTCGTTCTACTATGACATTTCGTGACCTTCTTGCTCAGGCTGAGGGTCACGAATTATTTGTGCAATCCATCCATGGGTCTGTCACTCCTCCAGTGGCGTTCACTACTCATTCGACCGAATCTCAGCGAAATCGGGGTCGCGGTGGTCGGAATTTTCGTGGGGGTCGAGGTCGTGGGCGTCGTCCTCCGCACTGCTAGCTTTGTCGCATAAATAGCCATTTTGCCAATGCATGTCCGCAACTTGTCCGGTATGCTTCGCCCACTCTAGGTTCTCCTTCCCCTGGATCGGACGTTGATATTGCTCGGGCCTTTCATGCCCACTGCCACGTGACTTCATCTGGTCCGGATTGGTATGTCGATTCGGGTGCAACCGATCATATGTCCTCCACCACTGCATCCGTTACAAATCTGGTTCCCTTCCCTGGAAACAGAAAGGTTTTCTTTGGAAACGGTACTGCTCTTCCAATTTCTCATACAGGATACGTCTCCTTCAAAGGAGATATCCACCTTCGGGATGTGTTAGTCGTTCCGCGACTTACTAAAAACCTCTTATCTGTTAGCAAATTAACCCATGATAATTGCCTGGATGTTTTATTTTCTCACCCGCATTTTTACATTCAGGATCGAAAGACGAAACGGGTTCTAGCTCAGGGGCAATGTAGTCAAGGTCTTTATGTGCTTTCCACCAGTCCTCAAGCCCTTTTTGCGTCCACCAAAGCTGCGTTGAAAGCTTCTTTTGATTTATAGCATGCTCGTTTAGGGCATGTCTCTTATGACACTATTTCACTTTTAAATAAACAGGGCCAGTTGTTGGTTTCCTCCATTTTACCTAACCCGTCCATATGTTCTTCTTGTCAAATGGCAAAGGCACATCGGCTACCTTTTGTAAACAATGATAAACGTGTTATGAATGTTTTGGATCTTATTCATTGTAATCTTTGGGGTCCCTCCCCCGTATTTTCAATTGATTCTTATCGCTATTATGTGTCATTTGTGGATGATTTTTCTCGCTTTACGTGGTTTTACCCACTCAAAACTAAGTCCGGTTTTGTTGATGTGGGATGTGTTTTCTCAAATATGTACAAACTCAATTTAATGCCAAGGTGAAGATTTTTCAAAGTGATGGTGGCACGGAGTTTCTAAATCACAAAGTACGGTCCTTACTTGATATTAATGGCACGTTCCATCGCATATCATGTCGTTATACCCCTGCCCAAAATGGTCGGGTGGAGCGCAAGCATCGCCATATTGTCGAAACCGGTCTCGCAATGATGTTTCATGGCCATGTTTCCCCTGATTATTGGGTTCATGCGTTCAGCTCAGCGGTGTATATCATAAATCGCCTCCCCTCATCTGTCTTGCAAAATAAATCTCCATTTGAGTTGCTCTACAACACACCACCCACATATGCTCATTTTTGCCCTTTCGGGTGTCGGGTTTACCAATATTTACGGGATTATGCGGATCACAAACTATCTCTTCGCAGCCTTCCCTGCATTTTTCTTTGTTATTGCTCACAATACAAGGGTTTTCAATGCCTTGAACCATCGACATCTCGTATTTACATAACCAGGCATGCTAAGTTTGATGAACAATGTTTTCCACTCCTTGATGACTCCAAGGCTACTCCGGCACATTTTCTTGCTCTCACAGAATTTTCCGATGCCATGCTACCTGCTCCGATCTCGCCGACTCCTTCCTCTGATCCAACACCATCTCCAAAGCCATGCAATATTTGTGTTGATCCTGTCCCATCTTCCGCTACCATTGAGCCTGATCCCACCAATGATACCACAGGCTCTTCCTTCGACTCCAGTGACACTGTTTCTGATACAAGTGATGCCCTGACAGATCCAGGTGGAGCTCCTTCTGACTCTGGTGATGATTCTTTTTCAGATTCCCCACCGACAGCATCACCTACTCCAGCTTCACCAGTTCCGCCATTTGGTTCTTCGGTACCTATACCGATCTCGAGTCACCCAATGATTACTAGAGCCAAGGCCGGTATTTTCAAACCAAAACATCGAGCGGATATGGCTAGCTCCATCTCTCATGGGCTTATTGCAAAGCTTCACACTTCCACTGATCCAAAAGGGTACAAAGTCGCTGCTCGATCTCCTCATTGGGTCCAAGCCATGGAACGTGAGTTGGATGCTCTTCGGAAAAACAACACCTTTACGTTGGTCCCTCGACCTTCCAATCATAATGTTGTCGGCTGCAAATGGGTGTTCCGAACGAAATATCTCGCTGATGGCTCAGTTGATCGTCACAAAACCCGTCTTGTTGCTCAAGGGTTCAGTCAAATTCCGGGTTTGGACTACTCCCATACGTTCAGCCCTGTGGTCAAGGCTTCCACGGTAAGTGTCGTCTTATCTTTGACTGTGGCAAACAAGTGGGCTCTCCACCAGTTAGACGTCAACAATGCGTTTCTCAATGGGTCCTTAAGTGAGCTTGTATACATGGAGCAACCGTCGGGTTTCCATAGTACTAAGTTTCCGGATCACGTTTGCCGCCTTAACAAGGCCCTTTACGGCCTCAAACAATCCCCGCGGGCATGGTTTCATCGTCTCAGCACCTTCCTGCTTGCGAATGGTTTTGAGTGTAGTCGGGCTGACCCATCTCTGTTTGTTTTTAAACGAGACACATGCATATACTTACTTGTATATGTTGACGATCTGATTCTTACAGGCAATCAAGACTCCGTGATCCGCTCGTTTAACAAAAAATTGCATCTTGAATTTGCAATAAAGGATCTTGGCCGCCTAAACTATTTTCTTGGCCTAGAAGTGACATATACATCTGATGGTTTGTTTCTTGGTCAGTCCAAATACGCTCATGACATACTCCAGAGGGAAAACATGCTAGATGCCAAACCGGTGTCGACTCCTCTAGCCGCTAATGCAGCATTTGTGACCACCGGTGATCCGTACGCTGATCCTACTCACTATCGGTCTCTTTTCGGTGCTCTTCAATATTTCACCATTACCCGTCCTGATATTTCGTATGGCGTGAATCAAGTGAGTCAGTTTCTACAAGCACCGACTGTTTCTCACTTTCAAAGTGTAAAACGGATTCTCCAGTATATCAAAGGCACCGTGTCTTATGGCCTTACGTTCTCTCATCGGACGCCCCCATCCACTCTGCTCGGGTACTCCGATGCCGACTGGGCTCGCTGCCTTGAGACACGACGCTCTACCTATGGTTACTCCATCCTCTCTCTTCCTCTTGAAAGGGTAAAATGGTCATTTATGTTGGATTAATGTCTAAGTCCATAACTATATTTGGTATGTACTTGACCCGACCCGGCATGGTCCATTTGGGTTGCACTTCACCGGCATAATTTATATGGATAGTCTTTTGAGAATAGTATATTTATGATTTATATTAATATATTATAAGTTCTAATATATTAATATGGAATCATATTATTTAATTAGTATTGATCAAGAATTAATTTAGAATTAATTAAGTGATCAAAAAGAACTAATTAAATATGGACTCTTATATATATGGAATGGGCCAAGTTCATTTAGGTTGGGCTAAGCTTTCATGGATGGTCCATGGAGCTTTTAACCCATGGATCCTATGTAAATGAAAGGTCATGGGTATTAGGGTTTACATGGATGTAACCCTAATCCTCCATAATATATAAAGGGGTCCTTGGCTCACAAAATTGGCACAAGTGTGTGAAAATAAGAGTGGGCCGATTTTAGTGTGCATACATATTCTCTCAAGTTCTTCCAAGGTGTTTTGGTGATTTGTGATTCCATTTGAGGCTTCCACACTATTGGGGCTATGCTCTTAAAGCTTGAAGACATCAAGCTACATCAAAAGGTATGTCATCTAACTAGAACTTTGTAGTATAGGTGCTTCATAATCTGCTAGTTAGGATGAAACCTTGGAATAGTTAACTTTTGCATGTATAATAGAGAAAACATAGATCCAAGGTTTATAGGGTTGCATGTACACCATATGGATTGTAAGGATGAGTTTTTCCACAAAGTTTTTAAAATAAAAGGAAATTTTTAATTTTATTTATTTGAAGTATCCTTACAATGGCATTTGTGGAAAATTGTTGCTTATATGACTCCACTGACAGCAATATTGGAAAATGGATTTGATTCTTTCATTTGTGGTAGTGTCTAAATTTACCAAATCAGGAAAGTTGCTGATCGCCCAAGTTTCAATTGGACCGAAACTTGGAATCTTGCAAGTTGAATAGTATGATGAATGAGAACTTTCAAGCATTGCAAAATCAAGACTAATTACTTGTTCACATGGATGTGTGAGTCAAGTGAAGGACTAAAGGGATCGAGTACATATTCTCTTGCATTGGCCATGTCCACCACAAAGCTCGTTAAGACTATTTGATTTACTAAAGTTTAGTAAATATGGTTATACTTACAAGTTTAAGTATAATTCTGAAACATTGGAAAAGTCTCAATGTATGGCAGAACGAATGGGAAGAATCAAATTAGGCAGAAAGATAAAAGTTTCTCAAATCTGAAAAGATGGGAGAGTACTTTAGTATCATGTTTGTGATCATCTTAATGATTTAGAAATCATATCATAATTAGTCTTCTAAAGGTCATCTTAGTGCATTCTTATGACTAAGAAGAGGAGTCATGAATTGTTGAAATGGTTAGATCAGGAAGATGAGTCATACTTCGTTCCAAAACAATTCTTAGAGTCATACTCCAAGATTGTAACTTGAGTGACATATCTTAAAGAAAGGTTTAAAACACTTGTCAATGTAAGAGTAAAGTGTCCTACTCTTGTACATTTGAAATTGGTAAGTTGTGATGTTTGGATAAAACAAAGACCAACTAAGGCCAATTGTGTGAAGTGTTTTGTCTTGATAAAGAATCCGCACTATCTCTTGAATATTTGGCAA